CATTAGAAGGGGATCAAAACCATTCATCAAAGTTGTGTGTTGAAGGTGAGGAGGCAACTGAGAGTCTGATGAAACTGAGTCCTTCTGAGTTGAAGAATCTTCTCCACCACATTTTGAGCGGCAAAGAATTTGGTGTTCAGAGAAGTGGTGAGTGACTTCATGAGAATTACAGTGTTGTGTAGTTTGTGTAGAAATACAAGTTCAGCATTGATAGCTAATATTCTATGATTAGGGTGACCGTACATCATCTTTTTCCTGGACATGTCCTGGTCGGGGTTTCTAAATTGCCTAAAATGTCTAATATTTGCATTGGTTTGACCATTCTCTGTTGATCCCACCTTCTCGCGTGCCATGATTGGTCGATTATGTAGTGCCTGCATGCTGTTGGTCAAACTTCTTTTCAGTCTTTACTTTTAGCAAGTATGAAACCAATAGAAAACAAATCCAATCAGTGTGTTAGGCTTGAAGCGGCAATGTGCTGATCAATCGGTGTGTGACAACAAAGTACCGCAAGAGCAACTGGACAGCATGCAGAGCGTCTGCTCTCTATAGCTCTCGTGGTACTTTGTTGTCAAACATCGATCGGTCTGCGCAGTGCTGCTTCAAGCCGAACACACTTAAAACCTGGACAATTTAGGCAATTCAGAAATCCTGGCCAGGACATGTCTAGGAAAAAGAGGACGTATGGTCACCCTATCTATGATTGGTTTGGATGTCTGGATGTGTGTCAGTTCGTTCAGTTGAACCCGGTACCAGTCCTGTTATCTCCATCCATGAAGTTGGAAATGTTGGTGCTACCAAGAGTGAGCGTGCGGGCATCAGCAAACTGAAGAGTGACATGAAGATGGTAGGTGACCGCACAACCAGATTGATGAAACAAAAACATGCATGGGCCAGATATTACAAAGGCACAATCAAATAAATTAAATTGTGTCAACATTAAAGCGACCATATATGTCATGTCTCTATGTGTTTAATAGTTTTTAAATGTTTTCAGCTGGAAGATCTCCGATTGTCATGGTCACTCCAAAGTAAGGTGATGTGTCTCATGAGCTGTGACTCAGTCTCATGTAATGGTCTAATCTCTAAGTTCAGAAACTAAAAAAAAAAAAA